ATAGATATTGGTTAGATAGATAGATAGATAGATAGATAGATAGATAGATAGATAGATAGATAGATAGATAGATAGATGATAGATAGATTCATTTATAATTAAGTTTGAAATAGATGCAAGGCGTAGTAGGTTAGCCGTTAGAGTGATATATATGCAATTTTATTGAAAAAGTATAAATACATATTTTTGAGAAACACATTTAAACAAATACACATTTCATGAAACATGCAAACACTTGAAAATAAAATGAAACATATAAAATATAATGAAACATTTATGAATTTTCTCATTCACAGATCACTACACGAATGACACTTAAATACAAACTTTTTTTCATCATAAAATAAGGTAAGAAATACATTTATAATTAATTTGATGCATGAAAAAAATAATAAATAATAAAAAATGTGTATGGATATTCTCATTCACAAAACACACTAGTAAGACTTTAATAACAGCACTTTATTACAATAACTGGGTAATAACTAGGTACTAACATTGAACCAACCCGTAAACCTAATCCTAACCCATGTTGTTATGTTATATTATCCAGTACTTTCTTAGGTAAGTACACTGTAAGTACAGCCATGTACTGTAAAATAAAGTACAACCAGTGTAATTATTCATGGCATTCCCATGAAATTCACAGAATGACTATTTACTGTACTTCCAAAAAGCAGAAAATGTACCTTCAAAAAGCTGTCCAGGGATCCATTCTCCATATATTCTGTTATTATCATCACTGGTTTACCTTACAGAAATAAATCACACAGATTTCAGTTTTAAGGTCATTGTTAGGTTAGTATTATTATGTGACATTGTCTACATTAAATTGATAACATACAACATGGGTGCCATGTGGTAACATCGAATTAACTGCTTTTATTTAAATCCAAAAACATTATTTAACATTACTGAATCAACATATTAGGTTACACCAACAAAACTAAACTAAAGGGTAAAATCTGGTATAAGCAGCTCTTTAAGATAACAATTGCAGGTTAACACTTTTTACAGTGTAATACTGAAACAATCATTTTCAAAAGCAATCATAATCAAAGGTATCCCGGCACTCACTCTTGGTGATGACCCCCTTGAGGTGGATGATGTTGGGATGCTCGAACTGGCCCATGATGCTGGCCTCGCCCAGGAAGTCCCTCCTCTGCTTCTCGGTGTAACCGGCTTTCAGAGTTTTAATGGCCACTGGGATCTCTCTCTTCCCTGGCAGCCGCAGCAAACCGCTGCACACCTCACCGAACTCACCTGCAACCGCGAGCAGAGCCATCAGTGAACCGCGGCAGCAAAGAGCCAGACGATGAAACGCCTCATTGTGCTCGGGCAGATTTCCCTCGCGAAGCCACAAAGTGCAAAGCTACTGAAGGATGAACTCGCTTCCTTCTGAATGAATAAAGTCTGGCAGTGAATGCCTGTATTTATAATGCGACACTTTCAGAGCAGGATTTGAAACTGAATGTTTAGCCCAAACCTCTTATTTTAAGGATGTTACCATATTTTATTTTACTGGAAAAGAAGAAAGAGAATAATGAACTAGACTAAAGAGTCTGTCAAGACAAACTTTACGTTGGCTTGACAAAGCCTGACCTGAAAGTCTGAAGTAGAATTAATAGCTTTAAATTAGGAGGTTTGAAGTTTGAAATAGTTAAAACTTGAAAGGGATAGTTCACCTAAAAATGAAAATTTGCTGTTAATTTACTCACCCTCAGGCCATCCATTAGAAAGTAAAGAAGATTTCTAGCTGAAACTGTGGTCCTTGGTCAATTATAAAATGCAAGTCAGCGGCTACCAGCACTTTGAGAATCAAAAAAGCATATCAAGGATCACAAAATGAATACGCATAGCTCCTGACGATATACTGAAATCTTATGAAGTGAAACAATTGGTCTGTGCAAGAAACTGAACATTATTTACATCATTACCCCTAATTCAGACTCCGATTCTTTTCTGCGAACTGGTTCTTTCAGACAGTTTGTTTCAATGAACTCATTCACTAGTTTGTTTATGCAATCTCGCAATGACTAACGCATACACAATTGTATTATTAAAACACCTAATAATGATGTAAAATGCATACGTTTTTACGAGTCTAAAGCAAATAAAGTGATTGAACTAGTCTTCATCAGCTCAAGTTTTTACATAAACTGTAAGAAACCATAAAAACTTTCATTCAAGTGTTCGGTTCACGCATGCACATATCAGCGGCTCATCAGTTCTTCGGTTCGTTCTGTTTTACTTGATTGTCAGGCATCCGAAAGTGAGATTTGATTGAGTAACTTGTAGATCTGTGCTGCCTTCGAGCATTGAACTGTTTCAGACAGTTCAGTCCGATTCGGCAAACTGGTTCACCAAAAAGAATCAGTTCAAAATAATGGTTCATTTGTGTACCGGACTTCACTCCGGACCGTTTGGCTGAGGCTCTGGATTACAGGTAATAATGTTGTAAATAATGTTCAGTTTCTTGCACAGACCAATGTTTTCGCTTCATAAGACCTCAATATATTGTCGGAAGTCACGGGTAATAATTTTGTGTACCTTGATATGATTCTTTTTTCTCAAAGTGACTTTAGTAGTTGACTTGGATTTTATGAATCACCAAGTAAAAATCTTACTTACTGTTCTACTGAAGAACAAAAGCCACCTACATCTTGGAAGGCCTGAGGGTGAGTAAATTAACAGCAAATTTTATTTTTTGAGTGAACTATACCTTTAAGTAGTAGTTTTAAAAGATATAAGGCTATATGGTTGCTAGGGTGTTGCTAAGCAGTTTCTCAACCCAACATACAGTAGATATCCGCAGTATCTAAACAGATTTCATCTCATACAAACACTGCACAGTCAGGCCTAAAGATGAGATTTGAAAACCAAACCGTCTAACATTCTCCTTCTCAGCGGTGAATGTTTCTCATGTAAGCTAATTGTACTTCTGTTCCTAAGGCCTGTTTTATTTTAGTTGCTCATAACTCACTCACCAGCTCCAATAACCCGCTCGATGGTGATACAGGACACATCAATCTCCTTGGCAAACTCGTGGATGGCCTGGTTGGGATCTTCGTAGGTGTGAGGATCGATATACGTGCGGACCGCTGGGAATTTGACTGTGATGAAGAGAGAGAGAGAGAGAGGAAATGCTGAATCCCGGACCCTCACAGCTCTGGGGTTGGGTTATGTGATGTAACGTGAGAGGATGCGCAGGAGATGCTGCTTGAGGTTTCATCTCTAGAGACCCTGTTTGTTCTTCCCTGCTGCGCAAAGCACAACATGTTGATGGATTGCTTTAGGACTACATAATAAGAATCCACCAAAATATGCCACACGTCTGTGTGTAACTGTATTATTGGGTACGTGGTTAGTGTGGTTGTAGCCTAATGGGTCAGTGAGGTTTTCGGGTTACAGATGGGTGTCCCAGTAACTGCACTGTTACTAAACAAATAATTTAAGTCTATGGGATTTTTCCATCAGTCATTCTATCACTAATCAGGGAATAATAATAATAATAATAATAATAATAATAATTATTATTATTATTATTATTATTGTTATTGTTATTTTTGCTTGGCAAATAATAATAATAATAATAATAATAATAATAATAATAATAATAATAATAATAATAATAATAATAATAATAATAATAATAATAATAATAATAATAATAATAATAATAATAATAATAATAATAATAATAATAATAATAATAATAATAATAATAATAATAATAATAATAATAATAATAATAATAATAATAATAATAATAATAATAATAATAATAATAATAATAATAATAATAATAATAATAATAATAATGTGAGGGCTGTGAAAGTGCTGTTCAAATAAAAATAATTCACGCCCAACCGTCCTGACGTCATTTTTAAGCTAATGATAGGATGAGACTAGCCCACTGAACTCTGCTTGAACCCAGACGTGTCTGTCTGTCTGTTTCAGTTAGACTTACTGTGTCCATTGTGGAAGTGCATCTTCTCCTCGTCCGGATCTTGCATGGCTTTACTGTAGCCACAACGTCTGTGAAAAAGAAGAGCTGTGTTACTCTTTATACAGCACAGTTTGCCTTTCTCTAAAAGCCATTTCTCTAACAAAATTAAAAAAAATGCCTGCACTCATTTCCTTAATTGAACGGCCTGGTAGAGAGAGGAGGGCTAGTAAACAGAGAGAATACGGGATGGTAATGGTTTTATCTGCTTTCAGCACAAGAATCCTCCAGAGAGGACTATCCAAACACGCACACATGCAGTATGACAGCAGTCTTAAGCGAACCCAATGCATCACAGCTTTTCTGCCAGTAGAGTGTTTGTATATGTGAAATGAGCAAGTGGATATTCACACACAATGAACGGCAGAAACAAGGTGATATCCGCTTCAGATCAGAGATACAGGGTAAAATTATTTGACTACCTGATGATGATCACTGTATATGATCTTGTATTTCGCAAACAAGATGAGTGAAAACACAATTATTAGTGCAAAAATATTAATTATTACTAAAAATATTTAAAAAAATATGATTTATATTTTATTACTGATTTGAAATGATTGTCATAAAGTTATATGATAAATGTTATTAACTGTAATTACATTAAAATAATTAGAATGTAATATAATTAATTTGATTAAAAGTTTAAACCAGATTTAAAATTGAAAATGAATGAAATAATGAATGAATTAATTTAATTAATACACTTACATATAATTATATAATAAACTAAAATAACAGAAAATATAAAGATAAAAACTGATAAAACACTGATACTAAAAAGAACACTTTTTTAAACAAATGACAGTGTGAATTATTATTAATACTATAATTAATAATAATAGTTTCAAATATTATTCTAGAGTTTGAATTGCATACTACCACACTATTTTTTCAGTATGGAAAAATTCTGCATTTAATACATGAATGCATGTGTACTGTGCATGCTGCCAGGAAAACTGTATTCAATATGCAAAAATAAATGTGTTTGTGTACTTGGCAAATATAGTGCATATGCATATTGCCTACTTTTTCCTTGACAGCTTTCAGTAAATATCATGCAGTACACTTGTATTTCATTATGAGTTCTCTCTACAGTCTATAAAATAGCATTTACCGGTTGCTTACTATAAATGTCAGTTTATGGCCCAGTTTTGTACAATTCCAAACAAGCCTTTTCCCTTTCAGGCCGACCCTGCTCTGTTTAGGGGTATATTGTAGCCAATTGTTCTTATGTGTGTGTGTGTGTGTGTGTGTGTGTGTGTGTGTGATATCATTTTTATCATTTTTATTGTTTGTTTGTGTGTGTGTGTGTGTGTGTGTGTGTGTGTGTGTGTGTGTGTTGTCTGTGTGTGTCCTGTGGGATTTGGCTGTGTGGCTGCAGGCTCAGGGGAGATGAGTCTGACCAGCATGTCAACCCTGAAGCCCCGCCTCTTCCTTTGCTCCACTTTCTTCTGATGAATTTGATTGGACCTCTGTGCTGTCACTTAATCTGACATATTAAACTACGAAACCAAAATCCTAACAGGAAGAAAAGCTACTCTTCAGAGTTGTATAAGCTTTATTTGTTTATAAGGCTGCATGTATTTATTTAAAATACACAGCAAAAATGCTGCCGGAAATTCAGCTTTGCATCACAGGGACAAATTGCATTTAAAATATATTTAGATAGAAAACAGCTATTTTAAATTGTAATACTATTTCAAAATATTACTGTTTTACGAACTTGGTAAGCATAAAATAAACACTAGTCTATTTTTTATTTATTTTTTTATTTTTTTAATGGAGAGGTAATATTTGTTATTATAGTTTTGTCGTTGTTGTTTGCAAGAAATTAATTATATTTTTCAAGGGACATGTTAAATTGATCAAAAAGTGTCAGTAAACATGTTTATAATGCAAAAAAAAAAAAGTTATTTATGAACTGTCTTTACATTCAACAACCACGTATAAAAGCATCAGAAATACAGTATATAAGAATATGCAAACATTAAATATCAACTGTTTTCAACAGTGATCATATTTATTTATTTATTTGTTTATTTATCTTAATTGATTGATTTATTTATTTATCTGAGCAGCAAATCATATTAGAATGATTTCTGAAAGATCATGTCACACTGAAGACTGGAGTAATGATGCTGAAATTCAGCTTTGCATCACAGAAATAAATTACTTTTCACAATATATTAAATTAGAAAACTGTTATTTTAAATTATAATAATATTTCATAATATTCCTGGTATTTTTGGTAAAATAAATGTAGGCAAAATAATAAAGTGTGAATTTGTGCACATTCTTAGCCAATGTCCTCGACTCATCCCAAAATCTTCACAGCATCACCTTCAAATGTCTGCGAGGATGGTTCTCTGACAGCTTTACTAACAGCCCTTCTTCTTACGGAGCCCTGTAGCTCATTCATGAATACGTCTTGACCTAGTAAGGCCAAAGAGGCTATTAACAACCCTGATTGCTTCCGGCAAGAGAGAGCGTGCTTCAAACCCATCTGTGACATGAAAGGTGACGGAAGTGTCAAGGCTGTGGCCCTCGTGATACACTGATATACACTTTAAGAGTAATTGCCTGAAACCGTCGCACTCTTGAGGGACATCCTTAACCCTTGCTTAAACAATTCAACTGCCTTTCAAGTGGCTTGTGAGAATTCAGCTGGCGGATGTCTGCTTGAGGTCTTGCTCTCGTGCCAATCGTCAATCTCGATGTGGACTTGACAGCATCAAATTAAAAGCTGCGACTCGGTTCAAGGGTGAAGGGTGACGAGAGACCAACATTGTTTGAGGTTAGCATTAGCTAGTTCTCTACTGACAGACATTCAAACCCTTGAAAAAGTTTGCTTAATTAATTGTATTGAATGTGCATTTGTAGTGTACTTCAGATCTTAAAAGCATATTAAAAATATTAATCTTATGTATTTAATATAAATATATCTTCCAGTAATTGTCCTTGCTTTGCCTAAATATGCTAAAGTGTACTTCTTTTCCACAAGGGAAGTAGCCGTGTATTCTGATTAAATAAAACGTTAAGTTGTGTACTTCCATTTGAAAAAAACAACCCAAAACATAACTGCTTATGTTACATGTCTGTGTTTTGTGTTTTGAGTTTCTGTTGTGACCTGGTTTTGCCTGTGTCTTCATCAGTTCATTGTTCCCACATGTTGTCTCATTAATTATCCCATTAGTCCCTGTGTTGCTAAGTCCTGAGTTCTCCCCAGTTCATTTGCCAGTTATTGTCTATGTTACACGTTTGCTTGCATGATTCCTGAGTTATCCTGCCTGTTTTCTGAGTGGATTTATATGAAAGACTGACCTGTCTTTAGATCACTCCCGACCCAGAGCCCAGCCAGTCTTCATCCCGCTGCACGGAGCATGCACCAGAGCCAACTGCAGCCGCAGAGCCAGAACCCGCCGCGATTAAAGCGCCAGCACCGAATAAAGCGACAGAGCGGAACATCGCCCCGGAACCTGAGCTCGACGACGCGACTGACCAGGTGTGTGAGCCAGCAACGCCGTGTATCGCCGTGGGAGTCCTCGTGGAGATCACGGTCTTGGAGGGAAGCCCTGTCCACATTCCCACCACTGAGGGTGAGCTGCAACTGGTCTCTGGGAGCTATTTTGAGGAATTAATGGACTGTTTTAGTCAAGAGGATTTGATAGACTGGTTTGGGGTGGTAATGACCAGCTCTCCTGAGTCTCCGCTGGTTCCATCCAGCTCTCCTGTGTCTCCTAAGCTCCCACCCAGCCTCCCTCTCCCGCCTCCTCTAAAACCAGACAGTTCCTCAGCCCTATCTCCGCTGGTGCCTGTCAGTCCCTCAGCTCACCCTCAGTCAGCCCAATCTGGGACCTCTGATCTGCCTCTGGACTTCCAGTCTCCAGCTCCGCCTAGGCATGAGGATCCCCTGTCTCTGCCTGCAGCCTCTGAGTCCTGGACTCCACATCAGTCCTTCGATCCATCGGCTCCACCTTGGATCCTAGCTCCCTCGTCTCCACCGTGGCCCAGCATCCCACTGGCTTCACCGGACTCCCTCGTCCCTCCGGCTCCACCTTGGTTAGTCGTCGACCATCCGTCGCCTCGGGACTCCACTCCTCTGGCTTCACCTCGTCACTCCGTCCCTCTGGCTCTGCCGGACTCCTCCCTCCCTCCGGCTCCACCTTGGTCCTCTGTCGCTCCAGCTCCGCCGCGGTCTTCCGGATCCCTGTCTTCACCTCCACCTTGGTTGCCTGAGCCACCAGCTCTGCCTTGGCCCTCCGGATCCTCGGTGTCACCCTAGCGCTGCGGCTTTCCTTCTCCATCCTGGACTCCTCCTCATCACTGCCCCATCTCCACCATGGCTCCTCCTACCGTCACCTCCACCGTGGGTCGCTATCCTGGCTGGTCTCTGGTTCCCCACCTAGCTCCTCCTGCTCCGGGCTCCTCCCTCCATCTACTCCGCCCTGGCCTTATGAACTATGCCCCTTTCCCATTGCCTGCCTCTAGCCTGCCCCACGCCCGCCTTCTGAACCCCCACCCTCCCTCCTCTGTTGGACTGTTTATGGCGCGGGGACAGCTTAAGTCCTGAGTTCTTCCCAGTTCATTTGCCAGTTATTACACGTTTGCTTGCATTATTCCTGAGTTATCCTGCCTGTTTTCCGAGTGGATTTATATTAAAGACTGCTCTGTTGTATTCCCTGCTCTCCATGAGTTTGATCTGCCAGAGGCGCGCTACAGCTTATGGATTTCAATGCTAAAGCTAATCCTAACAGTGAATGTTCTTCAGAGGTAGAATTGAGATATTGTGCTGTTCAATCAAACATTTACTTGTTTGAAACAAACAAACAAATAAATAAATGAATAAACAAACAAACGAATGAATGAATGTTATTCAGAGGTAGAATAGAGATGTTTTGCCGTTAAATCAAACATTTACAGCTTAAGTTAAATGATTTTAGCAAATGGCTGCAATATAACAAAGAGTGAAAAATTGAAGGGGGTCTGAATACTTTCCGTACCCACTGTATATTCCTTGGACGCAGGAAATGATTTTTCCAGACAATCACTCTTTTCATTTCAAACTCAATATTTCATCTATTTCAAATAAACTTAGCATTTCATAAGCGCAAACAAACATGAACACACATTTATATCTGCACCTACTGCACTCCCAGCGTAATTCCAGTAAATTGCGAACTGTTTATTATAGATAGACAGAGCGCATCTCAGTTTGTTTCCTCTAGCCAGCGAGGACAATAGCATGCATTACTGTCTCATTTTAAAATGTTGTGCCTGAAATGCTAAATAGGACAGCATGCATGAAACAGGATATTGTTGTTGGCTCCTCATCTGGCTCTGCCATTGTGTTTTGTGATCGTGCAAACAAATCTCCCAACGCTGTTTACATTAAGAAGCGAACAGGCACATATTCTCCTTACTGTAGAACTGAGGCCAGTGATCAGAGATATAGACACATATGTGAGGTCTTTAACTAGCTCAATACATGACAGCTAAAACTGACAGATAAATTGATTTATAATGGATTTAAATGTATTCACATGGCTATACATAAAGCTGTGTAAACACTTATATATTGCATTTTAACAGCTATAATTACAGATATTTAATAATTATGTAATGTACAGATAATTATGTAATTCCCTTTTTTCCCTCCTATGTTTCTAATTTTGTGAACTTTAGTAGAAATTTCTGCATATGATGTGGTTAGTCTTAGGCAAATACCACAGTTATTAGGTTATAATCAGCAACATTTCAAAAGATATGAGGCCTCCTTCCAATGTTGTAAAAAGCTTTCAGAATCTTCCTGTCATTTTCCTTCTGATGACAACTTACCCCAGTTTTACTTTAGTAACAAAAATGTAGTAATTAAGTGAATGTCAGTGTTTTTATCACTTTTGTCTTGATTTATCTATTGTTTTATTATAATAACTTGTGATTAGATCTATTACTTAAGATTATTTTGCTAATCTTTTTTTTTTCAAAAAGCCTTATTTATTTATTTACACTTATCCAATGTTGTCCTCAAGGGGAAAAAAATACTGTAATATTTTAAACATACATTAATTGTCTAAAATGCATACTTAATGCAGCAATATTTATTTACTTGCTTACTTACTTACTTTGTATTGCATTGTATTGTGCTTCATCTGTGCTCTTTTAGTAAAGTTTACTGGATTCTCCCTGGCTGTTAGTACAAGCCTTTATGCAAAACTGAAATATGCAGTTGACTTTCTAACATTTGCAGATAAGGATCGAACTGTAAGACATAAGTTATGTTCTGAGGAAATCAAGTCTCACATGCATCAAACATCACACTTATCTGTCAAAGCAACTGACGGGTAAGCCGTGCTAAATCCTATATGTTTGTTTGAAGCGCTTGATATAAAGCATGTCTCATAATGTTTATGACAGCTTGGGTCATGCACTTTTCCTGTAGCAGCCCACTCTGAGAGCTCCACTGTTTTCCAGATGCGTTTTGTCCATAGAAATGCTTATTCACTACTGTAAAGACACATGACAGACTGATGGATTTTCTGTGCACAGTGCACAAATGTGATTAACTGATAATCAGTGTTGATTATTTTCATTATTAGTTTGACTAGTTGTTGCAGCCCTACTTGTTATGATTAAAAAAAAAAAAAAATCACATCATTTATAGCAAACAATTTATTTGAATGGATCTTTCAAATAAAAGCCACTTGGATTTTGTTATAACGTATTCTTACCTGCCACTCATCAGGAAACCTGTGACCAATGCGATGAGGATGATGGCCACAGTAACAGCGACAGCGATGATGGGCACCTGACCCTGATCACTGGAGGCCGCTACTGCTGGAACAGACACCAGAGAAACACAAGAGCACGGTTTGAGAGTTCATCACAATCACTGCCTTGTTTCTTGCTAAATTCATAAGGAATTACCGTAAGTGTATAGAGTGTGACATCCATTATTACACACACCCAACACTACTGTATGTGACATGTTAATACAAAATTTAGTTGATGTGCGGACGTAGATGTGCACACTATAAAAATGTTTTACAAATTTTCCAGTTTATGGGATCTTTTGAGTCACAAATGCTAAGAATGACATAAAACTATATAAAAATCCATGTTAGAGACGCAGAATTCTCCATGATGTCCCAACTAATCAAACACAGTTGTATGAACAAATAATTTTAAATAGAACAATGTTGCTGAAATGGGTTTGTGAGTTCCCAGCATGAATTGCAATAGATTAATAAATGATGCTGTTACTGTTATTGGATTATTGTTTCAATGTTTGCTGACTTTTGTTGTTTTTTGTTTTGTTTTGTTTTGATATGCATCAGTGTTCCCAAAGTTTGCGTCTCAAGCATTGAAGCCTGTCCAAACCTCTCAAATATTTTTGCTTTGTAAGGTAATTGCGCCTTCAGAAACAAAAATAGCATCGTTCAATTCACATATAATCCTATTATATCCTATAAACTATACATAAATGTCCAATTAATAAATATATAGTATAAGAAAAAGTATGTGAACCCATTGGAATCAATTGTTTTTTGCATTCATTGGTATAATTGGTATGTTATCTGATCTTTATCAGTCACAAGTATAGCATTATATATAGCATTTTCTGCATGTTTTAACCTTTCACAATAGTGATTATATGATTTTGAGATCCATTTATTTACTCTGAGGACAGCTGATAGGCTCATACACAACTATAACAACTATTGAAAACATTCGCTGATGCTCAAAAAGTACATAAATAGGAAGAAAATAGAATGCAGGCAATCACAACGAGGTAAAGTTAACTTACATTTTCCACAACACTATAAATGTTTAATGGAATGTGTTTAATAAAGACAAAAAAGATTATACCTGTTCGTTTGTTGTTAGCTTAAGCACATTGTTTTTGTCTATACTTGTCACTTTGATGAAGATCAGATGAGATTTTATGACCAATAATGCAGAAAAATTAGTGTTACTTAAGGCCATTTTTAAGAGAATAGTTGAGAAAACCCCAACAATCTGAAACCATCAAGTTATTTTGAGTTATTTTACAATGAACTTTTTTTTTTTTGACTGTGGCTCATCAATTTAACATTTTTTTTTTAAATGTTTCACTTACAGTAAGGGCTTGTTTCAAACTCAAAGCGGCGGCTGAAGCCTCCGTAGCCCGCGGAGGTGCGTGCTCTGATTTGAAAGATGTACGCTGAGGAAGGTTTAAGGCCATACACCAAAACATCCGTCTCCTTTGACTTGATGATGGTGTAGCTTGTTTCCTGATCCTACAGAGCCACCAGAAGACAAGAGAAGACAAAAACTGTCAGAGAGCGAGAGAACGAGGGATAAAGGCCTTCTGTCCCATGAGAGAAAGGCAAAGTGTGTGTGCTGTGGCCAGTAGTGAGGATCAGTTTCACGGTCTTCATTGGCTTTGTTTTAAAGCCCTGTGTTAAGTGCTCTGTCCATTAGCTTTCATACGAGCGACCATGGGTCTTCATAGCTTTTTTCGTCTTGTAAGTGCATCGTATCATTGTTTCACAGAACGCTTTAAAACACTGAGGTCATGAGGAGCTGAGGCTCATTTACAGACGTATTCTGTCTTTAAATGGCTCAACAAAGCAAGCGGCAAATGCTGCGAGGTGAGCAGCAATCAGAGACGCGATCGGAGATGGGATTTAGTTTCGGGCTTTGTGAGGATTGTCGCCAGCGGGGTGGTCGACTGAGACGCCCAACGACAGCCCTGCTGCTGTAACGCCACTTCATTAGAGGATGAATCCTGTCATCATCTACTCAACCAACTCATGATGTTGCACAGATGTCTCCTGGAGGAATTTCGAATAGTTTACTGGTCGCTGTTTTCCATGCATTGACAATGACTGTGGACTAGAGATTTCAAGCTTGTAAATGGACAGCAAAGGCCAGATTTACTAACAACGTAAATCAGCACTAATCCTTGTTTGGTGTTAAAAACTACTTTTATGATTTACTAAGTAAACGTAGTGAAACTTAAGCGATTATAAAGTGTGCACATGGTTATTTTTATGGCTGACCTTATTTTGTATGCATTTGTATGAGTTGCCCTTTCAGGGAAACTGTGATAGTTGCGCTGTGAGAACCAGAAGAAATAAACATTCAGACTGTTTTGTTTTTTTTGAGTTCTGTAAATTTCATTCAAAATATCCAAATTAAATAATTTTCTTTAGAAATTAGATAATTCTGTATGCAAATCTTAGATACTTGTCTAGCATTTTTGCATCTTTTTTGAAGCCTAAAAGCTCCAGTTTCCAATCACTGTAGCTGCAATGGAAAATAACAACCAGTAAATTATTAGACTATGGTGGCCCAAAGCCTTATTTATTTATGTATGTATGTATTTATTTATTTATTTTTTTGTTTGTTTGTTTGTTTATTTTTAAGGGAGAAAACGTGAACAAAATCTAAAATAAAGATGAAGAAGGGGTAATCTACACGTTTTCTAATCTAATGTAAGCGAATTTGTGACACTGACAATGGCAACTCAAGATCAAGGTCAGATTTCTGGGCCATTTAGTTCTTTACAACATTTTCAAATCAGGCTGTAAAGCATGATCACTAAGTTTTCAGGGGCCTCTGTAAAAACAAACAAACAAACAAACAAACAAACAAACAAATAAATACATACATAAATAAATAAATAAATAACTTAATTAATTAATTAATTAAAAATATAATAAATAAATACATCAGTCACACTTTACAATAAGGTTAATTTGGTTAACATTTGTTAACTTCATTAGTTAACATTAACAATGAAAAAAATAGTTCTAGAGCATTTTAGCATTTATAATCTTAGTTAATATTGATTCCAACATTTACTAATACATTATTAAAATCAGAAAGTTGTATCTAATAACGGAACTGAGCTAATATGTACACACATGGAACAGTTGTATTTTTGTTAATGTTAACAAAGATGAATAAATACTATAACAATGCATTGCTCACTGTTAGTTTTAATGCATTAAATATAGCTAACAAATGGAATCTCACTGCCTTACCGAGCATTCTATTACCATTGCCTGTTGATTTTGTGTATGACTTCTTGCCTGTTTGATTCTACTTCTGATTATTGGATTATCCCTCTGTTTTGGCTTTAGACTACTGCCTTTTTCTGACACTGATTCTGGATTGCCCTCTAAATAAACTTCTGCATATGGATTCTCACTCGGCTTCAGCCTCCTCGTTACAGAATACTTCGCCCCCCATGAATCCAGCGGAAGTTTCGGAGCTACAAGCGGCGTTCGCCTATCAAAGCGAGGTACTCAAAGGCTACCAAAAACAACTTGAAAGCCTGCAGTCCACCAATGAATACTTGACACATTATATTCGTTCACTTCCTCCACCCATGCCACAAACGGTAAGCCTTGCTATGCCTGATAAATTTGATGGTTCAGCGGATAAATGTAGAGGTTTTATCCGACAAGTAGAAATTTATTTTGACCACCAGAAAGACAAGTTTGCTTCTGATAACCAGAAATGTGCGTTTTTGATTACACTCCTTACGGGAAGAGCGATTACCTGTGCTGCTGCTGTTTGGGAGTCGGATTCAATAATTCGTACCTCTTATGAATACTTTAAACAACAGCTACGTGATGTGTTTGAATATCCCGCTGGGGGCAGGGATATTTCGACGCAATTACTTTCTATGTCCAAAGGAAATCATTCGGCAGCAGACTACGCAGTGGAGTACAGAACGCTGGCAGCACAGAGTGGAAGACAGCCTTTCTCACCACTAGGGGCCACTACGAATACCTCGTTATGCCATATGGGCTAGCCAATGCTCCAGCTGTGTTCCAGTCATTCATTAATGAGATACTTCATGATCTGTTAGATCAATATGTGATAGCTTATATCGATGACATCTTAATCTATTCCAAGTCAGAAGCAGAGCACATCCAACACGTCAAGATGGTTCTTTCACGTCTCCTCGAGAATCAACTCTTTGTCAAGGCAGAGAAATGTGAGTTCCACGTTTCACAAACAACATTTCTGGGGTATAACATCAGCCATCAAGGGGTAGAAATGGACGAATCCAAAGTCAAGGCAGTCGGCGAATGGCCACAACCAACTACCATTAAGGAACTGCAGAGGTTCTTAGGATTTGCTAACTTTTACAGACGCTTCATCCGTGGCTACAGCTCCATTGCCTCCCCGCTGACTTCTCTCCTAAAAGGTAAACCGTCCAAACTGAAGTGGACAGAAGATGCAGCCAAGGCCTTCAATACCCTCAAGGTTAGCTTCACAACAGCACCCTATTTACGACATCCAGACCCTATTCTCCCCTTTGTGGTCGAAGTGGACGCATCTGACAGTGGCATTGGAGCTGTACTCTCCCAGCGTCACGGACAACCTGGTAAATTATATCCATGTGCTTTCTTTTCAAGAAAACTCACGCAGGCAGAACGTAATTATGATGTGGGCAATAAGGAACTGTTATCTATGAAGGCTGCTATTGAAGAGCGGAGACACTGGTTAGAGGGGGCAGTCCATCCGTTCCAAGTTATCACATACCACAAGAACTTGGAGTACACCAAAAGTGCCAAACGTCTGAATCATCGCCAAACTTGATGGTCCCTGTTTTTTACACGCTTCCAGTTCACAGTTACATACAGACCCGGAAGTAAGAACAGTAAAGCAGATGCTCTGTCAAGACGCCATGACTCTCTTGTCATTCCTGGTCCACCTGAAACTATACTGCCCCCAACCGTCATCATCGCACCAGTTACTTGGGACATCATGGAGGAAATTCAACGAGCCCATCAGCAAGAACCACCACTAGCCGACTGCCCCCCAACCAAGCATTACATACCCCATGCTCTTCACCACAGAGTCATGCAGTGGGTTCACACAAATCTATGTTCAGGTCATCCAGGGATCTCACGCACATTCAACCTGCTACAGAATTCTTTCTGGTGGCCTTCAATGAGTAGAGATGTTACCGCTTACGTCAAGACATGTCAAGTTTGTGCCCAATCAAAGACCCCCAAAGAACTGCCCTCCGGCCTGTTACAACCATTACCCATTCCACAACGCCCCTGGACACATCTATCGATCGACTTCCTCACTGACCTACCTCCCTCTGATGGATTCACTACCATTCTGGTGATCATCGACCGGTTCTCTAAATCATGCCGACTAATACCCCTCAAGGTTCTCCCTACAGCCATGGAAACGGCACTGTCTCTTTTCCACCATGTCTTCAGAATCTATGGTCTGCCTGAGGACATAGTTTCTGACAGAGGAACCCAATTCACCTCACGAGTCTGGAAAGCTTTCTGTAAGCAGCTTGACATAAACGTAAGCCTCACCTCAGGCTACCACCCTCAGTCTAATGGACAAGTTGAACGACTCAACCAGGAAATTGGAAGATATTTGCGCAGTTATTGTAGCCGAGAACAACATCGGTGGGCAGAATTCCTTCCATGGGCCGAATATGCTCAAAATTCCCTGACACATTCTTCTACAGGACTAACCCCCTTCCAGTGTGTTTTGGCTGCCGATTGGACTGATTGACTGTGTTTAGACTACTGCCTTTTTCTGACGCTGATTCTGGATTGCCCTCTAAATAAACTTCTGCATATGGATTCTCACTCGGCTTCAGCCTCCTCGTTACAACCTCATTGTAAAGTGTTACCAAAAATCCTAAAAATTCTGAAATTCATGTTTTTCTTATTTCCTAATAAACTTTTTTTTGTTTTTTTTATGTATACAGAACATGTAATGTTATGATTTTTCAGGATTATTTGAGGAATAGAAAATTCTAAATAACAGTATTAATATAAAAATATAAGTCTTTTGCACCACATACACTGAAAAAAAAACTATACTATTTTTTTTTAAGGTAAGTGGTTGCAAACAATTTATTTTAGCTACATTTAAATAAATAAAAAAATGTTGAAAGTTAGTCAACTAAATTTGTTTATTTAAATGTAGCTAAAATACATTGATTGCAACCACTTACCTTAAAAAAAATAGCACATTCAATTCATATATTTTTTTTTCAGTGTAAATGTATTTACTGTCACTTTTATTCTGCAAAAAATGCATCTTTCAATAAATCTTACCAAAAACCTTTGGATGGCAATGTATCATGGTTTTCTCAAAAACATTAAGATGTGCAGCTGTTTTCAACAATGCTAATAATCAGAAATATTTATTGAGCAGCAAACCAGCATATTCAAATGATTTCTGAAGGATCATGTGACACTTACGACTGGAGTAATGATGCTGCAAATTTAACTTCGATCACAGAAATAAATTACATTTTAACATATATACAAAGAGTTATTTTAAATTGCAATACTGTTTCACAATTTTACAGTTTTTTTATCGTATTTTTTTTTTTTATCAAATAAATGCAGTCCTGGTGAGCAGAAGTGACATTCAATCTGTAGCATATCTTTTTAAGTAATATAGAATTTTCTTTCTTTGTTTCTTTTGATTTTGGGCTGAAATGTAACCTGGGAATGTTTACAGCATGCAGTATTTACCTTCTCAAAATACTTGATCTCATACTCCAGGATGATGCCGTTGGGTCGGTCGGGTTCTTGCCAGGACACTGCGATGCTATTCTTCGCTGTCTTGCCTTTCTTCACCACGGTTATAGGAGATGGAGCTTGGAACAAAACGGTTACATCTCACCTTACTTTTCACCTCAAATCAAGCAGAACATGTATTTTCTTGCGTGATGCAGTGAAGCCCTGATGCAATGTGCTGTAATTGTCATTTGAAGATTTTTCTAAGTCTATATACTTGAGACTTATATTTGATAAGTCCAACCCCTCGGCTATTCCTAATTAAATGAAGATATCATATTGTGCTAATTACTTGAATGAGTTTCATAAAGTTCAGAGAAAAAGCCATTCAGAAATATGAAATATTCCACACTTCAGTGGCAGAGACAATCAGAGAGAATGCCTTTCATCTTAACTATTCGATCGCTTTGAGAAAACGCTTTGAATGTGGATTCGGGCAATGACATGCTTTAATGTTTGTACAACCTAATTATCACACATGAAAAATGCATGGTGAAATCTGTCCCGATTTACCTCCTTCCCATAAAGTCCCAGACATGACATCACTCTCAACAAATATGAAATTGTTTTATAGTTTATATAATTTGTCCATAAAAGAGTATGAATGTTACTACTTAGAATCAATTCACAATATTATATTATGGTGGAGTTTAAACTCTACGTAGCAAGAGTGGTTTTAAATACTGAGTTTATATTGCTAAATAAAGCATTACACATATTTCAAGTTGCATGTTTGTACCTAAAAATCTCTATAATGTATAACCTGAAGTCTCTCTCTCTCTCTCTCTCTCTCTCTCTCTCTCTCTATATATATATATATATATATATATAACAAATCTAATTTATAATGAAAAATAAATATTTAAAATAACTATTTAAAAAGCACAATATTTTTAAATAAAACTATTACTATATATTTAAATATACATATTTTCAAATTAATTCAATTCAATTCAAATTAACAAAATATTATTGTGAAACATCATTACTAGTTTATTTAATTTTATTTA